ATTAAATTGTTTATCAGAATTAATTTCTAAATGCAGGCACAAAAATAAGTTTCTCCTAAAAAACTATAAAAACAAGTGAGCTCAAATAATAATTACATTAAATCCCCTCTTTTTAAAATATGTTTTTTAAAAAAAAGCAGAAGTAATCAATTCTAAAGAACTCTTTTTATAATAGTGTCAGCTAATTTACAGTAGTTATGACATTTGCGACTTCCTGTAATTTAATTTTTTGGTATAAATTGAAGTTTTATTAATTTGATCATTCATTTCTGATGAGCCTTTATTGATGAAGCACAGTGTTAAATGAAAAAAAATTTTTGCTAAGTGATTTTCTACTACTTTATTATTGCTCTGTTCTTTTAAGAACATTCAGCATTCTATTTTGTAGAATACATTTTAAAATTGTTTAAAAATATATATATATATATAGCTTTGGCATGAAGCAGGAGCAATCCCTCCCGTCACGTGAAACATGTTCGTTAATGGAATAGTTATAAATTGCGGACGCGATTAAAAACGCTCGCTAATTTAGTTACGAGAGTAAAAAATTGCGCTCGTTTCAAAAATTTGGCAGGGAGAAAATTATTAATGGTTTACTTGATTTTATATTAAATTTTTTTAATTAAAAGTTTTTGTTAAAGATTCTTGGTTAATTAAACAAAAAAGTTCAAAACAAAATAATCTCTATTCAAATATCTTTAATTGCGTTTTTTCAACTGAGGTAAAAAGTTTAAATTATACTTCAATTAAAAAACTCATTTTTTCATGTTAACTTACGTCATTCTATTCAAATTAGAGCATAAATTTCTACGAATAATGAACCATGATTTGTGAATGAGACTTATTTATTAAAACGTTTACATCAAACATTTAACGAAATTAAATAAAATTTTAGTATTAAGTTAAAGATGAAGACAATAACAAAGAAAATACATAAAAAATAAATTTATTCTTTGAAAACAAGATCATTAAGAATTAGCTGGGGAAAAAAAAACACAATCAGATGCGATCAAATAATAAATAAGTAATTAGGAAGTCAAAAGAATATTAAACGTTTTGTCAGGCAGTGTACTGCTAAATAATAATTTTAAAATATATATTGTCGAAAGAACGTTGTATAACCAATTAAAAATTAATAAAAACATTGTGTTAATATACAATATGGTATCATAATATTTATAATTTTTATAAAGTGGATTTTTGGTTCAAATAGCAAGAACCATTATCAAACTAAAATAACCTGTAATAAACTGTTTACAAGTTATTGTAAACAAAACAAAAATGATTTCATTGTGAATATATGTGTGTATATATATATATATATACATACATGTATATATAAATATATATATATATATATATATATATATATATATATATATATATATATATATATATATATATATATATATATATATATATATATATATATATATATATATATATATATTGATATAAATCTTTTGCTTTATTTACAAAAATTTTTTGATACCTTTATGGATCTCTCTGATTTTAAAGGATCTTGTGCATTTTTTAAAAATGCTTTAAGTTTTGAATTTTTACTTAATTTTATTTAATAGATGGATAAGAATGGAAGGTTCCAATTTAGTCCAATTTAGAGGTTAAAATTTAAATCACCTTATATATATATATATATATATATATATATATATATATATATATATATATATATATATATATATATATATAAATATATATATAACCTTCCATGAAACTTTAATAATAAAATACTGAAATAGCCATCTGCAGGGCTTCAGTACATACATCAACTGAAGGATTGGGCAGGCGTAATCTAAATATGAAGAACATTTATTATGGCAAAAAAATTGTAACTTATTTCATTATTCTTCTTCTATTTCTAATATAGGATATTACAAAATTCGAATTTCATCAACTAATACTATATTATGATTATAATATATAAATTATAAATAACTGAAGAAATTGATCCATAATAGTATAAAATTTTTTTTAAAATAGTTTAAAAAAAAATTAGTTTGAAAGTTTACCTGCTAAATAAATAAAAACTTACTACGCTGAGAGTTTGCTAAATAAATAAAAACTTACTACGCTGAGAGTTTGTAAAATTTCTCAATGCAAAAGTTTTAAAATTTCTTTCTTGAAGTCCAACTGGAATAATAGAATTTTCTTTCTTTGCTTTCCATACTTCTGATACACCTAAAAAATATAAATTTTCTTTCACAAAGATCAACATAAATGTTAAAAGATTAAGAGAGATATAATATGAATTTATCAAGCATTTAAAATAAAACACATGCATAAATAAGAATTAAAAAAAAGTCATGTGTATGTAGTCAAGTAGTAGTAGTAGTAGTAGTAGTAGTAGTAGTAGTAGTAGTAGTAGTAGTAGTAGTAGTAGTCGTGATATCCCCCATGCTACCTTACAATGATCCCTGGCGTTACCTTTTGAACCCTCATGTTACACTTTGCCACTCATGTTACCTTTTCTTTTTAATTGTTCCTCATGTTACAGAAACTCCATAACATGAGGGGCAATGCTCCCTAATGTTACAGAACTTGCACAGCATGAGGGATCATTTTACCCTTATGTTACTTTTGTTAGTGAAGCATTGGGGGCATTTAAAAAATACTTTGTTTTTGACTAATTAGGCAAACTCAGTTGCAGTTTAATAACTATATATTTCTTTATTGGACTTATGCCGTTTTTGTCATTATTGTACCAATATACTGTTGTTTTTTTTGACATTTTTTTATTTTGCCGTTTGTTAAGAATTACAAAAAAGATATTACAGTAATAGTAAATCATGGTCGGAGCAAGAAGAAGACAAACTTCACTTATTACCTACCCCCGTTACATAAAAATTTACTTAACTAATAGGTGATACATAAAACAGTATAAGTACATTCAAAACTTCAGCAAAAAAATAAGTTTTTACTTACAATCTTTCAGTTTTATTAAAAAATAAAGTTTTATTAAAAATAATGCAATTTAAATAAGTATTTTTTGCTGATTACAAAAACATAAAACAAAAAATAAAAACATTTAAATATTTTTTATTAAAAAAAATTAAATATTTTTAAATGATTAATTTAATTCAAAACATTTTAAATTTTTTTAAAAAAAGATATTTGAAATCTTGTATATCGAAGTCCATATTTAGTAAATGCTGTTTTGAATCAGTCTTAAAACACTATGAAGTGCAGTTTAAAACGATGTCTTGTATTTCATTAAAAAATATAATAAAAAATTGTTCTAAACAAAAGGTCTCTGATATTGAATTTGATACAAGCTTAATTTAAAATGGTTTATGGGAATGGGAAAATTGTTCACTGAAAATTTATTAGGATATTAATGATAGATTTAATTAAAGTAAGATTGAAATGTAAGTGGAGATAACCCACATTTTGCCATACACACAAATAATATTATAATATAACACTTCTTGATGAATATTATTCTTATAAATATTTAAAGATCCAAGTTGACGTAAGAGAGGTTTTCAATATGCATTCCATTTTTGCCTAAATATAATCATGCATGCATGCTTTTTTTTTTTGCTTTTAATTTTTTTGAGTTTATTGTAATTAATGCTACCCCAGACAAAGTTGCATTAAAAAAGTCTGTGTCAAAAAAAAAAAAATTTTTTTTATATTTATTGTTAAGAAATGATTTTTTTCGATATAACGTGTAAATATTTTTTAGACATAGTCTATAGTCAATTCCTTTTTAATTATTATGTTATTAATTAAAAGACTAGGCAATTTGAGAGAAATATTATTGACTTCACTAGGTTTATTGAATAGGATAAACTTTGTTTATCTACATTTAATGAAAGTCAGTTACTTATAAACTACTCTTGATCTTATTTAATTCTTCATTAAATAATTCAAAAAAATATATATCATTGTAAAAATAAAACAAATTAGTGTCATCTACAAAGAATATTTGTCATCTGTATTTAATATTTTTCATGCCATATCTACTTTTATATTAAAATTAAATTAACTAAATTTATTTTTTTTTAAATTTACTTTATATAAATAACTAAGTCTTTTACATGAATTAAAAATAATAATAGTGCTAAAATAGAACCCAGGGGTACCCTACAAGTTAAATTGCGTATTGCTGTTAGTTATATATGATTTAAACCAAAGTAAATTTTTGTTTTAAACACCATACTTTTCTAGGTTTTTTAAAAGTATCTCATATAAACTTTGGAATCAATCAAAGTAGCATATGAGGTTTTTCTTTGAAATAAATTTTAAAACTCTTGAAATAAATGTTAAAACTCGGGCAAACATGTTGTAACTAACCCTAGCCAAAAAAAAATCTTTTATAAACTTTTTTGAAAGAACCTTTTACAATATTGTCATTAAAGATCCTATATATAGATTTCTTTTCGCTACCTCAATTTTAAACAAAATTATATTTTTTTCAATAAGTTATAAAGTTAAAATAATAGTTTCAGCTTGCTATAAATAAGGTCATTTAAATTTTTAAATAAGCTGTTTAAATTTGATTTATAACTATGTTATTCACATAGAATAGCGAAAAAAAAAAACATAAAAACTATGATATGTTCATAATAAATATGTTTTTTGACATGTCCCTTGTTTCTAATGTTTAATATAAGTTGCAAAAACGAATATTGGAAAGTAAGGCAAGTTAAAACTATTTCATCGTTGAGCAAAACAAAGAAATACATACATTTTTAAGTATTTCGTACAACTTTAAATATTTTAATTTTATGTAAGTTCTTAAAAGCGGATTATATTTTAAGAGAAGCTATTTTGATAAGATTTGTTGAAAAACTTAGAATACTTGGTTTAGAGCCTCTTAAAATAGAAATTTTATTTTTCTATTTTTTATTGCCCTAAAAAACTGTATATTTCACAAATTTGTCTTTAGGTACATTGAGTAATTAAATTTGTTATTATAAAAATGCCACATTACTAATTTGGCAGATTTAAGGATATGAGATTACAAAGTTTTACAAAAAATGTTGTTTAAGAATTAATGAAATATAAGAGATATGTGACATTGAATTTTACCACAAATTTTTTTTTTGTAATTACATAGGATTTGGATTAATCCTCCTAATTGTTTTTGATCAAGTTTTAAAATTGACGGACATTTTTTATTATTTCTCAACTTTATTTCCAATCCACAACCTTTATTTTACAGTATGATAATAAAACTTGCAGTTTTCTTTTGAACTTTATACTCACTTGTTAGCAAATTATTAGAAACCTTAGAATTTTTATGCCTCATTTCTAAAATATGTTTTTTCACATCTACTTGCAACCAATTTTCTTTGTTTGTAATCCGCTTTTAAAACTACCGTTATATCACGGCTGTTTCACTCAATATAAAAGCGAGCCTGACGTCACGAGTTTATCAAAAAAATAAATAATATCCGCATAAAAAGTATAAAAATTCATTAACTTTAAAATAATAGTATTTTTTTTCTATAAATGCTTTCATCTTCAAATAAAAAAAATATAAAAGATCTATCTTTCCTTGTTAAATAAACATTTACATTAAACGGAATAAAAATGAAAGCTGTAAAAATATTGTTAATAATTTGGCATCACTTTTCTGATTTTTGCGATTTTTACGCAAAACCTGTCTTAGGCCAACTAAGATTTGATAACATAGCTACATGGTCGATGGTTGAAATTTAGAACAGTTATTAATGAATGTCTATTCTATCTAGATTTCCACAGACTTTGCAAGTTTTTATATAGAAAGTTAGTTTTTAATGCATTTATATTTTTGTTTTTATTCGTTTTGAATAAAAAACATAACATTTTTGAAAAGTCTGTGGATTTAGTAATACTTCAACCTTATATGAATAAGAAAATCAAAAAATTATTTTCTGTACCTCTAGCTATGTTATCAAATATGTTTTCAAACTTGGCATGTTTAGCGACATTTTTTTTAGTTTTTTTTGCATACATTTTAAAGCGGTGACGCAAACTCTGATCGTTACGTCCCCAACGATTATCGGATGCATTTTAAGAAAACAAACAAAACAAACGAGACACATTTTATAGAATAAATAACAAAGTTTCGCGGATTAATTTCTCTTGGATATTTGACTAATTTCAGATAAGTTGATTAATCTGATTTTATCTAGTGCATCTATTTGTCAATATTATTCTATTTAAGTTGTTTGTATTATAATTTTATTACTATATCAATAAAGATTATAAAGCAAAGTTTTGTGGATTATTTCCTCGTGGATATTCGACTAATCTCAGATAAGTTGCTTAATTCTTTTATTTTTAGTGTATTTATTTGTAAATATTATTTTATTTAATTTCTTTTATTATATTATTATTATAATATCATTATCATTATTTATGTGATGTATGCAACTGAGAGGGAAATTTTGAAACTGTACATCGGTTGGGAAGATGATTGGGAAAATGAGTATAACTTTAATTTTGTAAAGCGAGTAATTGACACTAGTAAGATCACTAACAATGTGATTTCAATTTTATTAACAGTTTTTCATCCAAAAGCGTTGTTTACTTTTTTAAGTTTTCTTTTGCCAATTGAGTTTAATATGCCTAATATTGATGTGTTAAATAAAATGTGCCAAAAAATAAAACAAAGAAAAAAAGATTCTAAAAAGTATTTTGAAGCTTCAAAATACGAAGCATTTTTTAAAATGCAACTGTCTCCAGCTCCACAAACAAAAAAACAAAAAAAATCAGCAGATGCAGATAATTTTTATATTTTAAATAGAAATAAGGAACTAAGTAGTCAAGTTGAACAATTAATTTCTAAAGAAAAAAATAATGTGGAGCAAATAGATAATTTAAAAATACAGGTATCAAAGTTGGAAACTGAAGTTATATATTTAAATTCTAAAAACAAGGCTCTCAACGCACATTGTAACTCATTAAGTTCTCAATTAGAGACTATGAGTATTAGGCTAAAACAGGAGGAGCAGTTCCAACTTTAAAAAAAAAAAAAATTAAAAACAGCACACCGTAAATTTGCATCTGCTCGTGCCAAAAATGTAAGATTGCTAAAAAAATTTAAATTTGAAAAAAAAAAATGCAAAAATCAGTGATATAAACAAGAACAGTTGCCAAATTTGCAAATATTTTGCTAGCAGTGATAAGGATTTAGTTGTTGTTGATTCTTATTTAGACTATGACAACATTGGTTCCTCTGAATTATT